CCAGTCCTCAGTTTGCGATCCCCACACCCGGCGTACAGCCAGTGTTCACGCAGTACTTCACCCGCGGTAACGGTCAGGACATTGAACTACAGCCCCAGTCGGCGCCCCTAAGCCCGCCCTCTAATAACCTCGTGTGGGCTCAACAACAGCGGGAGCCGATAGCACAGCAACAACTGCTCGACTTCTTTCACCCGACACAACAGCCCCTTGTGTTTGAAGCGCCGGCCACTCGACCCATACAACTCTTCTCTTCACTCGACAACTCAGGTCTCTCTTACTTTCCCGAACAACAGCCCCAACAGCAGCTCCGGGAACACCAGCCCCAGCCCTTTGGCGGCTATACTCTTGTACTACAGCACAGGGAAGCGGGACAACAACGACAAGTGTCAGCCCCTCAGACACCCTCTGAGCCACAAATCATAGAACAGGAGAAAGTGTCTGAAGAGAGGACTGAATCTCAAGGTATGTGTTGTCGTCGCTGTTCTTCGCTGACAATAATATCACGATTTCTGTGACTTTTATTTATTATTTCCATTTCAGAGCAACAGTTGAGACCCATAGCAGCCCAGCAAACCGTAGTGCCAACTGTGCCCTTAAGACAGGCCATAGAATACCGACCATTACCTGTCCTCCAACGCCAGGAGCCGCTCGTGTTTGAGCCGCAAGTGTACGAAAATGTTCAACAGAACTAATCAAGACGTTATTTATAGTACAAGCATTGCATACACTGTATTACATGCACACTAAGAAGCTATGCTTTAATGTGTGAACCGATAATTCCGTACTTTTTATATTATAAATATAATAACATATAATGTCTACAAATGGCCCAAAAGTTATTTGAAAATAAAGCGCAATGTAATGCACTGTACAGTACTGTCGACTCGACACGTCCGCACACTTTGACTCTTAATGAACACACTTTTCCGACGGTCGGCGACCACAACAGTGACCACAACTCCTATACTAACAATCGGTTCGCAAATAGTAGTCATAAGAAGAAGTGAAGTGTAGTCCTCTCGGGTTTCACAGCCAATGAAGACGTATTGTAAGTCATGTTTTGAGAAGTGTTTCTCAAACGATTGATAACTTTTTAATTTTATGTTTAATTTTAGAGAGAAATCGCGCAAAGAATCGGTTGAATCGCCTGAATATCAAAGTTACTTCAATTCAAACAATTCTGTCAATGATTTATCGGCCGACGAGTCGATTGTTGTGTTGAGACGACAGGTGAAGGCATTGTCGCGACGAGTGTCAGCCAAAGAGCTCGACAATCAGTACAGACATCAACGAGAAGTGTTGATCTATACGTTGGGTGTCATCTATTTCGTAGTTAAAGGTTTTGTTTGGATTCACAGACAGTTATAACGAGAAGTGATACGAATGGCTCGTATAGTAACCGGTAAACAATTGCAAGTATGCAATGATATCGTATACGAGGGTTGGTTTGGTTTCGATAAAGTGCAAGAAATCAGACCCATTGTTAAGGAAATACAAAGTTTGATTCAACGCTATCCGCAAATGACTACATCTGCCTATAGTAACATCGTATCCGATGCCTACGACAAGATCGCAAAGATTGTGAAAGACTTTGAAGTGAAAAACGGCAAAACGGACCCATTTTTCAACCTTCGGATTGATGTGGGCTCTAAAGTCAATGTCACGGTAAGTGTCTCTCAACCCCTGACACCCCCCCCCCTCACCCACCCATCCCCTGAGAGTGAGGGCAACACATGTTAGACATTACACATCATAATTATGAGCGCATTTCTCATTCACACAAATGTAACACTATTTGCGAACAAAACATGGGATTTGTTGAGTGAGAGGCGAATGTAAACAACGAAAGCATTCATTCATTCAATAGAAGAGGAGTGAAGACATCGCTTAACACATCCCAAACACTGTCCACCAAAACAATGTCCACGTCTTCGACCGGCAATAGTCCGCTCCGATTGACAGCAAGTGTTGACGCCTTCTATGACCCGGACTTCACGCGAGACATCTCTCATAAGATGAGAGTTCCCGAGAAGATTGTCATCAATGACCACAACCTCAATGGCGGCCACTTCGACGACCCGGCCATCATTGCCGCCCGCACTCAGGCCTCACACACCGGCCCTCACGACCGGCTGTGGATGACTGTTCCCGAAAGGATTCTTGTCGTCGGTTTGTACCACTTGTCACTCAATTTGACACAATTGTCACTAATGTTTGCATTGATTGATAGGCAATGAGAGCCATATGTCGGGTCGCGGACCGCTTCCAGAGATGAAACTCGAGAACTCAATGCTAGGAATGAATGACAACTCGACTACCAATTCATCGATTCCTCTTCAGTTGTCTACTCCTCCGCACACTTTGACACTCAATGAACACACGTTTCCAACAGTCGGCGACAACAACACTGACCACAACTCCTATACTAACAGTCGGTTCCCAAATAGTAGTCACAAGAAGAAGAGAAATGTAGTCCTCTCGGGCTTCACAGCCAATGAAGACGTATTGTATGTCATGTTTTGAGAAGTGTTTCTCAAACGATTGATATCTTATTAAAATGATATTTAATTGTAGAGAGAAATCGCGTAAAGAATCGGTGGAATCGCCTGAATATCAAAGTTATTTCAATTCAAACAATTCTGTCAACGATTTATCGGCCGACGAGTCGACGGTTGTGTTGAGACGACAGGTGAAGGCTCTGTCGCGACGGGTGGCGGCCATAGAGCTCGACAATCAACACAGACATCAACGAGAAGTGTTGATCTATACGTTGGGTGTCATCTATTTTGTAGTTAAAGGTTTTGTTTGGATTCACAGACAGTTATAATCCATTCATTTTAAAAATTGCACTCAAATTATAAAACTTTTTATTTCTAAATTTTAAAATATTTATCGTATTGTTTGACCAAAACTATAGTTTTTGTGTTTTTTCTGTGCATTTCTTTTATCTTTATTATTGACCAAAGCCTTAGATTTACAGCAAAACTTGAAATGTGTTTGAAATGTTTGTTTCATTCAATTATTCGTTTAAATAACAATTATTTTAAAACTACGAAAACTTGTACTTATTTTTCTTACACTAAAATAAATCTCATTTTAAATTATAATTACTAAAAAAGTAATAAATTGAGTCTAAAAGTGTTTATTAATAATAAAATTATAGAAATGTGTTTAAAATAACGACTAATCGTAAGACTAATTGAGAGAAATCGGAAAATCGGAGTTTTGAAGAATCCGTTTGTCGTGTCATCTATTGGTTCCTTACGTATAGAAAGAGACGGTTTGTCTGAATATAAAGCACTATAGAAGTAGAAATGTTGACACAATCACGTGATATACCGATTGCATCACACAATTGTATGACACAATTGTTGGCAGTTTTGGCCACAATTTGCGAACCAAATCGAGAGCGAGAAGAGAGGCAGTGATGTGTGAGAAGAGACCCACAGTTGAAGTGAGTGTTGTATTGTTTGCGACGGCGAGGGATAGAGTGGGCGCGAGTCAACTCAAGCTCACACTCGACGCCCAATGGACTGATTGTCGCACTCTTTTACACCATTTGTGTGGAAGACATGTATTGAGGCAATTGTCACCATTGGTGCCAATACTGGCGCTCGCCGTCAATGAGGTGTATGTCTCGCCTAATGAACACAATATAACGCTTAGGGATAACGACGTGTTGGCTATTATACCACCCATTACTGGAGGATGAGATCATTTGCTTACCACTCATACCATTCATTCATTTGTGAACACTTTTGTAAATCAATTATTGGAT